CAAGACTGACACTGTGACAGCTAGGGTTGTCAAAAAAGCTCGTTGTTCGCAAACAGTTCGTGTTTGGCTCGTCGGGGAGTTCGTGTTTGATTCGTTCGATAAGCAAACGAGAAGAACACGAACAAATTTTTTTTTTTTTCATTCGGTTTATAAACGAACCAAACAATAATTTGCTCCATCGTGTTCGAATCGTTATTGTTCAAAATGTAAAATAATTTAATATATATATATAATCTGATCTCCAGGTTAACCTCTTAACTTATGTTAAATTCTATAATTTCGTTCGTCTTTTTTCTTATATATTTTTTAGATTTATTTGGTTTCTTGGAGTGAAACCTAGTTTTTGGGAGTCTCTAGATGTAATTTTTTTATGGATGAGATATGATATTGTGGTTTTATTGTGAGCTGTGTTTCAATTATTTTGCATATGTGATGTGATTCATATATGTTTAAGCATTAATTTCTTATAGATTTAAGCTTTTGAAAAATTTCGAACAATTTAAACAATCCGAATAGTACAAACAAATTCGTAATATTTTGAACAATTCAAACAATTTGAGTTATTCAAACATTTCAAATATATTTCAAACAAATCAAATCAAACACGAATAATTTCAAACACGAACCTATTTCAAACACGAACCTATTTCAAACACGCATAATTTGAAATGAACCGAACAAGAACACGAGCTCTGTTCATTCGTGTTCGGTTCGTTTACACCCCTAGTGACAGCCTACTGCTGAGCTATAAGGTCTTTTGTGCATTTAAGCTCAATACTTTATAATGAATTGCATTGTAATATCAGAGATCCTAGCTCCAAATAAAATTTTAATAAACATATATCATTAACACACACTGCAAATGCATAAATATTTAATAATTATTATATCTAATTTATGTTATTACACAATCAAAAATGAAATAGAGAGAGTATACTTAAATTTTTTTTTTTAGAAATCTTTCAAAAAGGGGGAAAAAAGATCCACTTTGTTTGTGTGACTCAATTATATTATTCTCAACTAAAAATATATTACAAATTCACCCATTTATATTACCCTCTTAAGTAAGGGTGAGCACTATTTATTTTTGTTTTTTTTGTGGTGTGTGGCAGTGCTCATTTAAAAAATAACCAATTACATAATTATTTGCTTTTAAACTAAGAAGTTTACTAAATCAACAACTAATGTTCAATTTAGATAAATTAAGGATTGAAGATGAATTTTTTGTAATATGGTTACAAGAGAATGTATGGGAGTTTTTGAAGAAGTTAAATGTTATTTTGAGTAGAGGGAGGCCATGATTTAAGTTGGCTTAACATTGTATGAAGAAATTGAGGAATTGTGGGAGGAGCAAGGCAAAAGTAGGAGTCGGAGAAGTTAATTTAGAACTTACTAAGAACTCACTAATGCTTAAGGGTCCGTCCATTAAATATCACTAAATAGTCAAGTAGCTCTCAAGATCTCATGGTTCCATCATTTTGAGTATATCAAAGGTCTTAGTTTACATAGATTGAATGGTCAAAGGTCATAAAATTTAGAGAATCTAATTATCAGTCTTGTGTTGCCTCCTCTTAGAATGTAGGTTGAAGTGGAGAAATGTATCGACCTTATTATGTGATAGAAATGTACTGCTTAGACAGGAAGAAAAATTTTATAAGAAGATGGTGAGACCTGTTATGCTATATGGCCTACTAAAATGTTAGCCTATAAAAGAGAAGTATAAACCAAAATCAAGTGTTGCTGAGATGGGAATACTTAGGTGGACTTAACACTTAGAGGAAAAATGCGAAATGAAAAAAAATCCATGATATGGTTGGTGTAGCTCCAGTGACAAACAAGATTAGAGAAAGCCGTTTTAGATAGTTTTGGTCGCATTAAACATCAAACATCTGATGATTCAGTTAGGAGAGTAAATATTTTATATTCGACTTATATTAAGAAAAATAGAGGTATATCTAAAAAGATTTTGACATATATAATAAGTAATCTTAATCTGTTGTAATTAAATGAAAATTTGACACTCAATAAGATGCTATGGAGAAAAAAAATTCATGTAGTCAACCCTACTTAGTGGAAAAAAAAAACTTGTTATTGTTGTTGTGTTGCCTCCTCTCAGAGATCTCAAGTTACGAATACATGCACATAGATTTTTAATTTACTATATCTTCGGGTTTTAATCAATTTAGGGTTTGTTTGGCAGCTGCATCTTATCCAACTTATTCAGATGAGCAACTTATCTTGATAAGTTGCTGATTTGCAGCTGATCCAGATAAACTAGTTAACTGTTTGGTTTGTGTATTTGGAAAACAACTGATTTGCATATGTTTCTGGATAAATAACAATTCTGTCCTTGATCTGGATAAGCTGGTTAGTTATTTGGTTTGTGTGTTTGGAAAACAACTAATTTACAGTTATTTTTGGATAAATGACAACACCCAAAGTAGAGAGAAGAGACACACACTCCCAGGTCTAGCCACCAACACCAACACCAACACCCAAGTACCAACAACAACACCCAATAGTATAGAGAGGAGACACGCACACCCAGGTCTAGCCACCAACACCAACACGCAACACACAATCACCAACAACAAAACCAAACAATAGAGAGAGGAGACACACACACCCAAGTCTAGCCACCAATACCAACACACAATCACCAGCAACAAAACCAAACAATAGAGGGAGGAGACACACACACCCAAGTCTAGCCACCAACACCAACACCAACACCAGAGCACCAATAACATCACCCAAAGTAGAGAGAGGAGACACACATACCCAGGTCCAACCACCAACACCAATAACCAAGCACCATCAACAACATCTAGGTCTAGCCACCATCACCAACACCCAAGCACCAGTAACAACACCTAACAATAGGGAGAGGATACACACACACCCACGTCCGGCCACCAACCCAACACCCACACTCAAGCACCAGCAACAACGCCCAACAGTAGAGAGAGGAGACACACACCTCAAGTGTACTAACAAAAGATAAAAAATATATAAATACACACACTAACCTAAGTGCCACCAACAAGCACATCACACACACACACACTCACATGCCACCACCAGCCCATGTCATCCACGACCACCAACACAACTAGGAGTGTAAACGAACCGAACACGAACGAACAAAGCTTGTGTTCGTGTTCGGTTCGTTTAAAATTTAGTTTGTTTGAAATAAGCTCGTGTTCGTTTCTTAACGAACGAGCCGAACACGAACCGAACACGAGTTGTTCGCGAACGACGAGCTAGTTTGTCATCTCTAATATTAATATATAAAAATAATATTATATATTAATTATATAACTTATATTATATAAATATACAATATCTATATTAGTATATTACTA